CTATTGTTCTAGGCCTGCATGTCTGAGCAATTAAGTGATCATGCCTTTCCCGAATAATATGAGCGATATGATCAGATTTTTGCAGTAAGGATGGCTTCCCAAGGACGCAAATTTCATTCCCTAAATGCTGTTGAAATGTGGGGTTATGCTACGATATCTTTGATTCATGTTCGTAAATTTGACGCCCAAGAATTTTGATAGAACATTATTGGGTATGTATGAGCAAACTGAATGATTCAGCATCGCAATGCATTAGTTTAAGATTTAAGAAAGCTATTTTAAGCCTGTTTATTGTCGTGGATGCCAGGCTACCGGACATATGCTCGTATGCATATACATTATATTGCCAGTACATACCGTCGTCATTCCACACACGGATCATCCTGCGAGCATATTTGGCCATATTTGACCAGGAGAATAGTGCATCTAACACATCCTTTCTCAGAAAATATTGAAGGGTTTTATTGCCGCATAACTCCTCACTCATTAACTCATTCTTATTTATTTGCCAGCATAAACTCTACAGTAAGCATAACTGAGCAATGCTTTTCCGTCACTGAACTGGGAGCTTGCTGTCATGGCGTCATGGATCAGTCGTGGCGGAGTGTGTTCAGCGACGCATCAATTGCACAGACACTTGCATGTGTGTCGGTGGTTATATACATATATATATATATATATATATATATATATATATATATATATATATATATATAGGCATTGTGCACTGTATATAGTCTCCAATTACGTTCCGTGAGCAGGTCGAAGTTGTTTTTATGTGCCATTGTATACCTCCACAATGACGAGCGTGATATATCCCACTGGCCTGTGTTGATGGTGTTCTGTCGTTTTCTGGTGCAGCAGCCCATCACACTGCAGACCATTCAGGGTCTACAGGGCTCGGCATCGGGCCACCTGCTATTTAAGACGGAGAATGGCCAGCTGAAGCTGATCCAGCTGCCGGTCCAGGGCGGCACCACCTCCGCTGCCGTCTGCTATGTGGGCACCTCCACCACGTCAACGCCCATGTACAAGGTAACTTTGGATTGGTGTGGTGGTTTGAAAATGACGATGACTGCTATTTGATGTCGCACTATGTTTTTCATTTGTTGATGTTTTTGGTGTTAACGTGATGTAGTTTTTGGGACGGACTGGACCAATGAGGCATGTCTTTCTCAAGCAATTAGGTTTATCCCAGAAAATAGTTGCCTCTCTCTCCTCATTATATTGTTTTGTTTCCGTTCTGCTGGTTGAGCAATAGTATAACTCATTCAGTTATCTACATAATGTACTATGGAAGTTTGCATGTTTATCTGTGATGCCTGGATCTGCGCTGCTTCAAAGTATTTTTTTTTTTTTACGTTCCTCTGTGTGCTCTTGAACCGTAGCTTTCCCGACATTCCTCAAGTCATGTTGCTAGCCACGTCCTTTTTTCTCGCCGCCACATTCCAATTGTTTGCTTCCCTCATCACGTATGCCTTGCTCTACAAGCTGCTCATGTTACATGCCATCTGTAAGGTATCTGTGTGCATCGCGCGGTGTCCAGCGGCGCAGCCAGGCTTCCGCGTGGCTGTGCTGTGAACTGTATGGCCCTGCCGGGTGCTGGCGGTCTGCCGTGGCCGTGTGAGCTGGCGCCCGCCCGGTGACGCGGCGCCCTGGCCCTCCCGGCAGCAGGCGACGGTCGGCGGCGCGGCGGCCGCCCCGCCGCAGCGGCCGGCCCCGGCGCCGGCGCCCCGACACCCGCACGCGCCGCACGGGCCACCTGCCTAACATTTACAAGGTGCGAGCGACCACGCCGGGTCGGGTCGGGTCGGGTCGGGTCCCGCGCCGCTGCGAGCGCACGCTCAACTGTCCCGCACGGGCCCCGTTCTCAGGCCTCGCGAAGGTCTGTGGCATTGGTCACGTGGGCCAGCTGGCTCGTCCTGCGATGGTGGGTCGGTCTCTTACCGCCCTTCTGACCCGTCTGTTTCATACGTTTGAAAGTATTTGAGGCCTCTGACCTGCTGCTTGCATGAATACTGTTGCTACAAATTACTTGTGCCTGTGCGTTCGTGAATGTTGAAGGCTGGCCACAGGCTGGCTGCGATGAGCGCTGTCGTAGTTTTGATGACCTCGTCCACCTCGGGCCGTGGCATGAGATGTGCATGCGGCCTGCAGTCCCGCCCTCGGACCGCGTCCCTGGGCCCTCTTATGTGGCTGGCCCGAATTGTGGAACTTGGTTTCGAACCAGGCCATGGAGGTGCTGGGCTCGGGTGCACATTGTTCACAGTCCAGAGTTATGGCCCGCAGTATCACAAACTGCTGACAGACGTGACATCCCCGAGAGTTAGATGTTCTTCTGATTATTTATGGATGATGTGGTCGCACTCTACATAAATTGCGCACCGCTGGATGCGTTGCGTTCGGCAAACTTCGCGTTCCACAGTTATTTGTGCCCAACCGAAAATTGAAATGTGTAGTTGTAATGTACTTAACGAAAACAAAAACAAAAAGTAATCCGTCCTCGTCAGGGTAGGTCGGCTTATCCATTTTGGAGGGTTTTGGCATCCTGGTGGTCGTACATTGCTTTCAAAGAGGGAATGTGCACACATTGCACCCGGCCCCTGTCTTGGTCGGCGCTCTGTCCTGTGCCCAGTTGAGTGCTGTGTTGTCTCTGGTGGTTTACCAGACTGTCCGGTATGGTGCAGCGCAGACGCGAGCAGCAGCGGCCGAGAGCTGGCGAGCACGACTCGGTGGTAGAGGGCGCTGGCATTGGAGCTAGTGCTGACCTGGGAGCCACTGCTGGGGGCGGGAATGATGACCTGGGCATATTGAAGTTGTGGGGGCGTGTGCTCATTAAAAATGGAGTTACCTCACGGCATTGAACAGGTTTTTAATCATGCTTCTTGCATACCTCAGTAGCTTGTGTGGTGTGACATGCCCAGATGGCCCTAACACGTTGTAGTTTTGAGCGTGTTTCCCTCCACCGACGTCTGATATCGATGTGCCCAGCGTGTCCGCGCGTACCGGCACGCCGAGATAACACTGGCGCCGGTGAGGTACACCTGGAGGGCCCCGGGGTGGCGCTGTGCCGCACCGCGCCGGTATTTGACGACGCTCACCTGTCGCCAGCAGAGCCCGGTGCAGGCGGCCACCACCCCGCGGACAGCAGTGGCCGTGTCGGCCGCGCCCGCCGTAGCCGCCCCCGCACAGCCCACAGCCCAGGTGAGCGTCCCGCCGCCCCCATACGCCCGTGGCCCACAGCCCAGGTGAGCGTCCGCCGCCACCGCACAGCCCACAGCACACAGCCCAGGTGAGCGTCCCGCCGCCCCATACGGCCCGTAGCCCACAGCCCAGGTGAGCGTCCCGCCGCTACCGCACAGCCCACAGCCCCACAGCCCAGGTGAGCGTCCCGCCGCCCATACGGCCCATAGCCCACAGCCCAGGTGAGGCGTCCCGCCGCTACCGCACAGCCCACAGCCCACAGCCCAGGTGAGCGTCCGCCGCCATCCGCACAGCCCACAGCCCACAGCCCAAGTGAGCGTCCCGCCGCCCCCATACGGCCCATAGCCACAGCCCAGGTGAGCGTCCCGCCGCCCCATATGGCCCTTAGCCCACAGCCCTTGCGCAACCCAGCTGGTATTTTTTTCTGGCTCTGGTCTGCTATTCTCGACCAATGGTAATTGGCTAGATCACAGAGATGTTCAGTCTGCGGATGGAGGGTGTTCGTGTGCACCGAATCGAGCTGACGACCGTGGTGCCGATTATTTGTCGTGGCGAATGGCGACTGCCGAAAGCAGCACCCGAACAGCCGTGCCGATGCTTTTGATAGCCAATGCAAATGTAAAAAGGCGGTTTGGAGGCAAGCTGCATTTCACGGACTGTGGAAGCGGACGGGACATGTTCGTAGGGTTCTCGCGGAGGCCCCGGATACGACTGCTATCTCCCCGCTGACGAGCGACAAGCCATCACGGACTGTGGCGTGTGGTGTGTGGCGCTCATGTGACGTCTTATCCGCACCGGCAGCCGGCGCAGGGCGCAATGGCGGCCGACACGGCCAAGCTCAAGTGCAAGAACTTCCTGTCGACGCTGCTGCGGCTGGCCAAGGACCAGCCGGACACGGTGGAGCGCAACGTGCGCACGCTGATCCAGAGCCTGATCGACGCGCGAGTCGAGCCCGAAGCCTTCACCAGCCGGCTGCAGCAGGAGCTGAATTCGTCGCCGCAGCCCTGCCTGGTGCCCTTCCTCAAGGTGGGCGGCGCGTTGGAGAGAGAGACGGAGGGTTGTAGGCGGGCCCAGCGGCGTGGACTGTTGTTCGCCGGGTGTGCGGGGTGGTACGTGTGATGAGAGGTGTCGTGTTGGAGCTGTTGCCCGGCGGGCGGCTTGGCTTCGGCTGGACGCCGCGGCGCCGGGGGCCGCACGCGCCCTCCAGCGGGGCTAACGGTGTGCCGCGCCGTCTGCAGAAGAGCCTGCCGTTCCTGCGCCAGTCGCTGTTCAGCCGCGACATCACCATCGACGGGGTGAAGCCGCCGCCGCAGTCGGCGCTCGCCGCCGCTCCGGCCGCCGCGCCAGGCACGCTGCACGTAAGACACGGCCGCTCCGGCCCCTGCCGCCTCCGGCGGTGGGCATCTGCCTGCGATGACGTCTTCCGCTAGGTCGCTGCTTGTTTGGACTTGTGTGTTTTTTCGCGCCAGAATCAGTTTGTTCTAAGCTGTCGGTGTTCGGTGTTGATCGTGAGTAGCATGCTGTTTTGTGTGTGGATGTTTTGCTGCTTCTAAAGTTGTGCCTTGGGGCTGCCCGGCTGGAGACGCGTGGACAGTCGCGGGGGCCTCGGCCTTTCCCGGGTATCATCCTCCCCGGCACACACACACACACACACACAGAAAACAGCTGCTACAAACTTCTTAAACTAGTTTTCGCAATTAGAGCCTTTTCTTTAGTTTGATTTTGGTTTATTTTCCACAAATTCAGTGACTTTGTTTAATGGAAGCAACATACCGGCATCTCATAAGGCGGGCATGAAGCCGGCGCCAGTTGGTCGCGAATGCAACCTTACGCTGTCGAAAGATACGCGCGTGATGCGACTGCGTGTCATGTTTTGTTTCTCTGCGGTCGGTACATAGAGCTGGCATTCGTGTGGCTTGCGTATACTCACGCTGCAGTGCTGATGCCTGCTCGCACGCCGGGACCTGCGCATGGGCGGTCCGTGTCCCGGTCTGCGGGCTGCCGTGGGAGGCGCGGGGGTCCCGAGAGAGCAGGCTCCGGTCGGTCAGCTGGCCCTGTCCGTGTGTCTCCGCCACCAGCCACCCCCGTCGGTCACCCCCCGGCAGCCGTCCATATCGGTGGTCACCCCCCGGGCAGCCACCCCACCCCCGGCGGCCACCCTCCGACAGCCGTCTGTATCGGCGGCCGCGCCCCGGCAGCCCCCCCCCCCCCCTCCTCGGCCCCCCCCCCCGGCCACCCCCGGCAGCCGTCTGTATCGGCGGCCGCGCCCCGGCAGGTGCAGCGCGCGCCGGCGCCGGCGGCCGTGACCGTGGCACGTCAGGCGGTGGCGGTGACGGCCGGGCCGGGCCGCGCCGCCGCCCTGGCCGTGGCCGCGCAGCCGCGACTCGTGCAGCCGCGCACCGTCTCGGCCCACCCGGCCCTGCTCGGCGTCCAGCCCGTACGTAACCGCGCCTGACTCCCCAGCATGCCGTGACGTCACGCCCCGCTGTCTTGCCGCGCCCTTCTTCCCCTGCGCTGCGGCCTGGTGGTGCTGCGCGTGGGTGGGTTTCGTTGTGTTGTGGCGAAGTGGCATGGTTGTCGTAACTGGGACTCCGTAGCCGTCATTGTCTGCTACCGTTCTCGAAAGGTCTCGGTGCAGTTATCACCGGTCTCGAGATTTTGGTTCCCGGCTCGTATTTGGCGTCTCCTCAGTATTATGATGAAACATCATGTCGCACTAGCATTTGGAAAAGTGTACGATAGCATTTGGAAGTTATCGGTCAGATCTTACTTCTGCACCGGCCGCGGTACTGGTCGGTCGTGACGTTCATCCCTGGTGCCTGTGCGTGTGATCACCGCGGCCACCATGACGCCGGGCCATCCACTGACGGCGGCGGCTGCCGGCCGTTTCTGACGTCACTGTCCGGCCCGGCCGTCTCCAGTCAGTCAACAAGGTGTGCGCGTGCCGGCCGTCCCGTCGCCGGCCGCCGCCACCGCCGTCGCCACCGCCACCGCCGTCAGCTTCAACCGACAGCCTCCGGTGGCGCTGCGGCAAAACAAAAAACTCAACTTCAAGTAGGTGCTGGCGTCCACAGGACCGCCCTGTCCACTGGTCGTCGGGCATTGGGTAGCGGGGCGGACTGGTCACGAGGTCGGTCACGTCTTGACCTGACCAGACTGGCCAGGGTCACGTGATGAGGACGATCTTACCTACACCGCCGGTCTGGCGGTGTGTCAGTTGGTGCGACGTTGTGCGACTGACAGTTTGGGTGCTGTTTATGTCCATGGAAGTGTCCAGATGGCACTGCTGTGTACTTAGCTCGTCTCGAGCCCGCAGACAGTTTGTGTGAACACTGGGATCTGCCAGTCGTTACGCACAAAGGCCTAGGCACAGCCATTTATACACCACGGTAAACACTTAGCTGTTATGTGCGCAAAATGACCCTAGAAGTCGACGCGCCCTAAAACCCCAATCATCACCATCATCATCATCACAAAGGCCTAGGTGTCACCGTCCAGACACTGCGGCAGCCAAGTCCGATTTACTTCGGTAGCGCGGCCTAAACCCGACCATGTCCATCGCAGTTTTCTATGTAGATGCTTCGTTTGCAACCTGTTCTCAGTTGAGAACTGTTGTGATGCGCCAATGTCCACGCGTGCCGCCCGGAGCACCCGCACGGCGCCGACACGTCGGCCGTCCTGGTCCCTCCTCTAACCCGGCTGCTGGCCGTCGCCAGGTCATCGTTCGAGTCTGGCCATGACGACGACATCAACGATGTGGCGGCGATGGGCGGCGTCAACCTGCAGGAGGAGTCGCAGCACATCCTGGGCAGCACCGAGTACGTGGGCACGCAGATCCGCAGCATCAAGGACGACACGTTCCTGCCGAGCGCCGCGCTCCAGCTCAAGATCCGCCGCATCGGTGAGAGGCTGCTCGCTGGTGCCGCTCGCTGGTGCCGTGTTGGGTGGGTCGGGTCGGGGCCGGGGCCGGGGCCGGGGGCCGATTCCGGGTCCGGGTCCGGGTCCGGGTCCGGGTCCGGGACCGGGACCGGGTCCGGGTCCGGGTCCGGGTCCGGGTCTAAGTGGGGCTCGGGTCGGGCCGGGCCGGGCCGGGCCGGGCTGGGCTGGGCTGGGCTGGGCTGGGCTGGGCTGGGCTGGGCTGGGGCTGGGCTGGGCTGGGCTGGGCTGGGCTGGGCTGGGCTGGGCTGGGTCGGGCCGGGATGGGTCGGGTCGGGTCGGGTCGGGCCAGGCCGGGCCGGGATGGGATGGGTTGGGTCGGGTTGGGTCGTTTGTGGGGAGCAGGCCACTGGCGGCCGGCCGGTCGTGACTAGACTTCCACCGACCGAGCTCTGGCGTAGTTGTTCCGTGCTGGACGGAGCGAGTTGTGATGGACGAGCAGCAGCCGCAAGGCTGGCCGGCGGCGCCGGATCTGTGTGCTCCGCGCCTGCGGGCCACTTGTGTGGGCCTGGGTGTGCCAGCTGTGCGCAGCGCGCGGTTGTTGCGCTGGTGCGGGAGCAAGCCGGTGATCGTGGTACCATGCACCACAGTGGGGCCGACGGGATGAATACTGCTGGCCACTGTGTCTGCCTGCGGGCGTTCTGGGCACGCGGCTGCCGTTGCTGTCACGTCTGGTCCGGGTCTGACCCATGAGTCACGGCCCGAGCCCGTGCGTCCGTCGCCGCGCGGGTCGGTGAGCTGGCCGCGGCGTTCCGCCAGCGATGCGGCACGGTCTCGAGGAGCCCGGCCCGGACGTGGTGGCGCTCGTGTCGCACGCCACTCAGGAGCGGCTCAAGACGCTGCTCGAGCAGCTGGCCGCCATCGCCGAGCACCGCATCGAGGTGGTCAAGGTGAGCTGCGCTCGCTGCGGCCGGCCGGACGCGGCCTACTCACGTGCCAACCGCGGTCAGCTGGTGCAGACCAGAGCATTTAACCGGCCTGCAGACGCTGTGCCGACGCGACCAGCTCTGCGTGTTTTGGATGCGTTTGCTCAGCATAGTACGTGTAAAGCCGCATGTAATCTTACATTAGCTGGGGACATTCACAAAAAATTGACGATGTATTTTTGGGGTTGACAACCTTCATGGGCTTAATCGTAGCTGCTTAAAAATTGCTGTGGTGTTAACGCATTTGGATGCTAGTTTTAGAGATGATGATAAAGTTGTTCACGTATTGTTCAAGAGCTTAAAACCAGTGGCCTGTGCGCATGGTCACAACAGTGACGGCGGTGGTGAGCCCGGTGCGGGCGTAGGACATCCCAGCTCGGTGATGTGATATCTCTGACACACGGGATGGGACGTCAGTGTCGCGGCGCATTGGTCGGGCCGTCGCCGCCGCCGCTGATCGCCGCCGTGCCCTTGCAGTCGGAGCCGGGCTACGAGGCCTCGCGCGACGTGCGCGGCCAGCTGCGCTTCCTCGAGGAGCTCGACAAGCTGGAGCAGAAGCGGCACGAGGAGACGGAGCGCGAGGTGCTGCTGCGCGCCGCCAAGAGCCGCTCCAAGACGGAGGACCCCGAGCAGGCCAAGCTCAAGGCCAAGGCCAAGGAGGTCAGTCTGCGGCAACCGGTGAAGCCGGTCAGCAACGTTACCGTGGTCGTTACTGGCGTTTTTTCGGCGCGCCCTTAAACACCACTAACAACACCAATGATGTCCGTGACTGGATCTCACCGACATCGTTGTTCACACCAACAGCGAGGTGACGGTGACGCCGCGTCCGTCACCGTCGCCAGCGATGGTTTGGCTAGCTCGCTGGACCTGTGGTGGTGGCGTTACGGGGTTCGATGTGTTGCTTGTGTGTGTTGTGTTGGCCTCACCAGAAGTGTCGATCGCGCTGTGGGGTCATCCTCAAAACCTAGTGAGTTTCGCTGTGAATTTGTCGGGGCTGGGAGAGCGAGAGAGAGCGAGAGAGAGAGAAAGGGAGAGGAGGGAGAGCAAGGTAGAGAGAGAGAGAGAGAGAGAGAGAGAGAGAGAGAGAGAGGGAGAGAGAGAGAGAAGAGAGAGAAGAGAGGGAGAGGAGAGAGAGAGGAGAGAGAGAGAGAGAGAGGGAGAGAAGAGGAGAGAAGAGAGAGCGAGAGAGAGAGAGAGAGAGAGAGAGAGAGAGAGAGAAGAGAGAGAGAGAGAGAGAGAGAGAGAGAGAGAGAGAGAGAGAGAGAGAGAGAGAGAGGAGAGAGCGTGCATGCGTGCGGCATGGGCGTTCTCTGACGCCAGCGCAACGGCTTGCTTTTTGGTGATGCCGCCCGACCCACCGCTCCAGATGCAGCGGGTGGAGATGGAGGAGGTGCGACAGCGCGAGGCCAACTTGACGGCGCTCAAGGCGATCGGGCCACGCAAGAAGCCGCGGCTCGATGGCGAGTCGGCCGCTTCCGACACCCCCACCGTCAGCGGCGCGCTCAGCCAGAGACAGGTGAGAGACACGCCCACCGTCAGCGGCAGAGAGACAGGTGAGAGACACGCCCACCGTCAGCGGCGCGCTCAGCCAGAGACAAGTGAGAGACACGCCCACCGTCAGCGGCGCGCTCAGCCAGAGACAGGTGAGAGACACGCCCACCGTCAGCGGCAGAGAGACAGGTGAGAGACACGCCCACCGTCAGCGGCGCGCTCAGCCAGAGACAGGTGAGAGACACGCCCACCGCCGGCGGCGCGCTCAGCCAGAGACAGGTGAGAGACACGCCCACCGTCAGCGGCAGAGAGACAGGTGAGAGACACGCCCACCGTCAGCGGCGCGCTCAGCTAGAGACAGGTGAGAGACACGCCCACCGCCGGCGGCGCGCTCAGTCAGAGACAGGTGAGAGACACGCCCACCGTCAGCGGCAGAGAGACAGGTGAGAGACACGCCCACCGTCAGCGGCGCGCTCAGCCAGAGACAGGTGAGAGGCACGCCCACCGTCAGCGGCAGAGAGACAGTTGAGAGACATGCCCACTGTCAGCGGCTGAGAGACAGGTGAGAGACACGCCCACCGTCGGCGGCCCAGAGACAGATGAGAGACATGCCCACTGTCAGCGGCCCAGAGACAGGCGAGAGGCACGCCCACCGTCAGCGTCGCACTCGGGCAGAGATTGGTAAGAAACACGCCCACCTTTGGCGCAGTGTTCAGCCACAAGAGCGTGCGAGATACGCGCTTCTCTGGCGTAGCGCTTACCCTGTAGAAAACCTGACGATGAGGGCGCGAACTGATGATCGCACTCGATGCGTCCTTAAGCACCAGTAAACAGCCATGCCGCGGGAATGCATGAAATATGGATCCCCATCGCCGATCTTTGGCACCTTCCGCAAAGTTGTTTGCGAATGGTCACGGGAAAGTCGTGAAACGCGCGGACAGTTGGACCCCGAGTGTAAGCTTGAGTCCAGAACCAGGCGAGGAAGACTCGTCCACCGTGACTGCGCCCGTCCATAGACAGGTGAGAAAGACGTGCTCAGCTACAGCCGCGGCCCGCTTAGACAGGTAAAGGTCAGTAAGTGCAGCCTTGAACACTGCCCTTCAGCTGAGCGCTCAGCCAGTGATGAATGGATAACCGCGACCGCAGTGATTCCAGCCTGGTCTGAGACCGAGTTTCCGTGCGACCGTCGGCCAGTGTTCGGCCGAACTGCCGCACCTGTCCGTCTGGTGATCAGAGTCTTCCGTGTGACCGGAAGTCGCACGGGGTGTAGGAGCTGTGTTCTAGACGCACGTGGTTCACAGACTCTGTTCCATCTCAATCAGGTCCGTTTGACGGTCGGACTCCGATCTGTCTGACGGCCGGACCCCGATCCCTCTGACGGCCTGACTCCGATCCGTCCGACAGCCCGACTCCGATCCGCCTCACGACCGGACCCTGATCGCTCTGACGGCCTGACTCCAATCCGCCTCACGGCCGGACTCCGATCCGTCTGACGGCCGAACTCCGATCCGTCTGACAGCCGGACTCCGATCCGTCTGACGGCCTGACTCCGATCCCTCTGACGGCCGAACTTCGATCCGCCTCACGGCCGGACTCCAATACATCTGACGGCCGAACTTCGATCCGTCTGACGGCCTGACTCCGATCCGCCTCACGGCCGGACTCCGATCCCTCTGACGGTCGAACTCTGATCCGTCTGACGGCCGAACTCCGATCCGTCTGACGGCCTGACTTCGATCCGTCTGACGGCGAACTCCGATCCGCCTCACGGCCGGACTGCTCCGTCTGACGGCCGCCAGACCGCTCCGTTGTGCGGACCAGCCGTGTGCCGCCGGCCGGGTCCGTGGCTGCCCGGGCCGCCGTGTAACGCCGCTCCGTTGTGCGGACCAGCCGTGTGCCGCCGGCCGGGTCCGTGGCTGCCCGGGCCGCCGTGTGACGCAGCTCCGTTGTGCGGACCAGCCGTGTGCCGTCAGCCGTGTGCCGCCAGCCGGGTCCGTGGCTGCCCGGGCCGCCGCGTGACGCCGCTCCGTTGTGCGGACCAGCCGTGTGCCGCCGCCGGGTCAGTGTCTGCCCGGGCCGCCGTGTGACGGCCGCTCCACCTCGCTTCAGATCCCGCTGCGGCCGCGTTTGAAGCGCGTCAACGCCCGAGACCTGCTGTTCGTGCTGGAGCAGGAGAGAGGCCTGCAGCGCTCGGAGCGGCTGTTCCAGCTGTTCCTCAAGTAGCGGCGCCGCCCGCCCCGCCCACCGCCTCGGCGCGTTCTAGCGCCTTGTTGTTATTGCCGGCCGCGCCGCATCGGTCCGGCGCGCCGCGCCCGGCTCGTCAGGGGGGAGAGCGCCGCTCCACGTTTGCAGTGTTCGCCTACCCTCCATCTGCTTATGCTCGTGTTGGTCATTCGGTGAGCTGACCGCCCGCATCGCCGCAGTCTCGGCAAACTGGGTTAAGGCGCTTCTCACGGCTTTATCTCCAGTGTCCTCATCTGGGTCTGCTGTTCTTCCTTTGGATTGTAGGGTGGAGATAGATGCAGATTTTACGAGCGGCTGGTTGTGTTTTGCCTGTATGTGATAGCGGTCTTCGCTCGCCCGCCAATGTCTCGCTAGAGCGCCCCCCCCCCCCCCTCACCCCCCACCGCCCCAGCCTCAGCGTCTGCTTCCGTTTGCCACCCTACCTCGTGCACTTAGCCCCCTTCCCCTCCCCCCGTCGGCACGCCTCCATCTGCTGTCCCTTTCGCATTCGCTGCACGCTCCTCAAGCCCGCTAATGCCACCGGCCCGGGCGAGGGCCACCCCGCCCTTGCTCGGGCGCCCGCCCACTGCCCCTCCCTTTCGACCCCGGGCCAGGGCCGCTAGTACAAACTGCCCGGCCGGCCGGGCCGCGCGGTCCCCGGCTCCGCGTGCCTGTCTGCATGTGTGTGCGTGTGATGACGCGCTGCAAGCACTGTACATACGTCATATTCGCCTTCACCAGCGTACATCGCATCTGGCGCGGGTCGCCGGCCGCCGGCCCCGAGGCAGCGGCCGGACGGGCTCCACATCGTGCCGCCGTCTGTTTTTACCCGATGTTCATCTGTCATCAAGTGATTGAAACAATGAGAAAATATTAGTAACAACGGGAGATGTGTTTGGTCTCATGGCAAAGAGAACAGACGTGGTGGCGGGTGACAATCGACGGCAGCGGGTCGAAACAACGGCTTTTGTGCGGTCTTGAATAAGGAAAAACTCGTAACCGCGAACTACTACGGGCTCCTTTCCTGATGTTTTTTTCGTAGACAGCCTTGCCATGATAAGATCAGATCAGGTTATATTTACATTAACAAGTTCATGTAAACAGAACGTGTTAATGATCTTTCGCAACTTATCTAGCTGGAATGCGGTATTGCATCGTAATGCGCTGGTTACGCCGCGCGATAGGGTAGTTTACTACCGGATTGGGCCGGCCACGCGAACCCCGCGCTGCCGGGCCGTGATATGCTGCTGGCCGGTCGGTCGGCATCGCTGAGACCGTGCGGCTGTGGGTAGCTGCGTCCCAGCGCTGACTGATGCCGGCGGAGCGTGGCATGGGGTCACGTTTGATCCACGTCATTGAATCACAGCTTCGGTGCACCGGTTCTTAATTCTCAGCTTCACGTTTTAGAGAATCACGGTTCGTTCAACGTAAATGCGCCGTCCACGACTCTGGCTATTCCCGGCCGATGTTGGTCTGCAGTGGTTTACAGTGCGGTCTGCCGTGTCGAGGTCGGTCACATTAAGATGGTGTACGATATGTTATCAAGGGACAAAATTTGGATATGCGGAGGCGACACCAGGCAGATTGGGAGATCTGCAACAGACATTACATTTTGGGTGCAGCCGCCAGGCAATAGCAAGATGTAGGGCAAAAGCTTACGTCATCTTGGCATTTTGGTACTGATGAGGAGTTCGGTAGCTCTCGTTGTCTCGGCACTCTGTGCTACCTCGATGCAGCGTGATGTCGCAGCATCGCTGGGTCATCGTTACTGCTCGGTGCATCGATGCAGCTTGGTGTCTCGGCCGATGATGATTGGTACCTCATTATCACTCGGTATCTGGACACTGCTGGGTATCTTGTCACTGCTCGGTACCTGGTACTTGGTGCTTGTGTCTCTTGCTCGGCACCCCATAATGCTCAATGTCTCAGTGTCCCAAGAATCTGGCTCTGCGTCCATGGCAGCTCAGTTGCTCGGTACGACCCGATATTTCGGCACCACGCAATAACTGTGTCTTTTACGGCATCTCTCACTGTCAGGTGTCTCGGTATCTCTCCGGATACTATGAAGCATCCAGATCTTGTTCTGCATTTGTGTAATCTGAGCCGTGTAGTCGAGCAATGTAGTCCGTCCCGGTGGCTCAGCTGGTTGGAGCGCCTGCCTCCCGGTTCACCCACCCGTGGCGGGGTGAGTTCGGGCCGCTTTTGGCGCTCGTTATTTGCTTTTGACAGATTTGGCTTCCGGCCGGTGGCAGCGGTCACGTTAAAGGTCAATTGACGTCAGGTGCAGTACGGACCGTGCCGAGCATTGTGGCACGTGAAGCTTCCGCCACTAAATTTTGTCGTTGCCTGGAATTGCGCGATCGGATGGTAAGGGGTCAGGGCTCACACAACAAGCACTGCTTAGCGCAAGCACCGATTCCAGAAATCCATCCATTCAAAGTGTTCGAATCAAATTTCTAAAACAGAAATGTGGGTAATGCAAGACATTTCGAAAGTCAAACCAAACCGAAATCATTCAAGACTGCTTTAAGCTTCCCATTTGAATAAGCGACGAAGACTACGCTAAGCAGAATGTTCCTTTAAAAAAAATTGATCTGGGTTATTTTAGGTGAGTGACCTATTGTCACCCTCAAGAAGTTCATGGAAGGCGCATAATGCGGTTTTTGTTATCAATAAATTCAAAATGAGCACCAGATGCTACCTCATACAGCAAGCTCTGGAGCCATAAAACAGGTCGGTTTTGACCTTGGTCTGACCTTTATACCTCACCCTACGTCAATGCAATTTTCAATTGTTCTTTCAATCAATTCAAACAACCTTCCTTTCAGTTGTTGTGTTACCTAAGAAAGTACCTCAGAGATGTATGGCTTCTTCTAATGCTGATGTATCAGACTGAACGAATCCCTAGAATTAACTTCGCTGAATCCGTGACCTGACTGGTCTGCCGTAGATCGGCGACCTAACAGGTTACATTTGAATTTTTGATGCCGAACGATCTGCTATTCAGTTATCTACAACTGTGCAAGCTTTGGCACGGCTACGCCGCGACGATCGGAAACCATTCTGGAAAACCTTCGACTGACCCCCACCCGAGCGTGTGGTAATTTTATTTGATGTATGATCTGACTTTGAAAATAAAGTTCAGAGATGGTGCATGAGCACCGGTTTGAGTCAGCCTATATATGTGTCGGTACCGAATGTTCTTAAGCGTTCGTTTGTGCGGGTGGATATTTTTGCAAGAACCACAATACAAAGGATGTAAGCAAGATAACTCTTGCACGTCGTCAGTCAACATTAACCAAAAGGCAGCTCTTGCAAAAACTCCCCTCGGCACTTGGCATGTTCAATGAAAATGTCATTTTAGAATCACTGCTGATGGGTAGGTCAGCTCTGACCGTACGACAGTAGTCAAATCGTGCGACAGTGTGCCGCTCTAAGAAAGGGAGGTGTGGGGATTGGGACATTACTGTGGATGCGCAATGCCATGTGTTTCATGCACCCTTTTGTGTTGCAAAAAACATTAATGTGTAAAGGTGCGCAAATGAGAAAAAGCTATTCGACCATTCTTGCGGGTTTATACGGCCTTTAACACGTTAAAATATTTCAGTGATTTATAGCTCCGCCTGTGACGACACCATTTACACCACTTATTTCGGCTAGTTTGAAATTGAACTTTAGTTTTTAGTAAGTTGCTTAGCTTAGCTTGGTTTTCTTAGGCAACTGTTCATGGTACTACGCAATTATCCCCAGGCGATCGTAACTGGAGGGTAGAAAGACCCCAGGTGCTGATGACATTTTGATTGGCAATGATGCAAAAACAACGGGCCCAATCACTCAGGAGCAATAACTCTGAAGCTGGTGTCCGTACCAGTCCGGCCAACCAATGCCCGAACACTCGCTGAAAGCCACTCCGTTACAATGAAGAAGACCATGAAGCGTTCAGAAATTAAACAAAGTCAATACATGCACATGTGACGTGGAGCGGGACAACTCAGTAATGTTTGCCAAATATGTACATACATAGACAAAATATGAGAGTTCCAACTTCAAGACTTTGAACTCAGACTGACCTCGCTTAGCGCAGTGACCTGCTTGAAGCTTGAAAATTTATCAGAGTACAAAAGTATGTAGAAAAAATGCACTACAAGTTTCGCGTCGTATTTCCGCCGTTTTTACTACGCTCCGAAAACAAAAAGGGGAGGGATTTTCGTCCCCCGACCGAACCAGGCCCAGAACCCGACTTCATTTGAGATCGAAACTTATCACATCTAAACTGTTGAAAAGGTGATTGTTCCAAGGCATAATGATACTGGGTTAGAATATATCTAAAAGGGCAAACTTCACCAAACTCGTCCCCCAAATTGCCTTTCAAAATTTTCATTACTGGAATGCAGAAATGGGCAACGAAAATATTACATGCTGACGCAGTCATGTAAAGCACCTATGCTTTAAATGTTTCAAGCTACGAAATGAACGGTAAAGGTACGCAGAATTCCAGGGGCGTACCTATTTGCGCACTAAAGCTGCGACAAAAACATGACGTTAGAAGTGGTGCTGACACATGATGATAATTTACGGAGAGCGTAAGAAAATAGCACCTGTAGCTGGCAAACTAAGGGTATAGTGTAGCAGCACGTGCACTGCAATTCAAAATCAGTTTTCACTTTCCCTTTAACCCTCGCCCGGGCGACCAGCTGGATACCCTTCGCTCGGGTGCGAGGGTCAATTCCCCCCCCCCCCCTAAGACATCAAAAACTAAGAGAGGTCGAAACACTAAATTCACAGGGTGCTTTTGCCTGCACGGGAACTCACTTAGGGAAAAGTTTGAGGTTCCCAGGTAGTGACCTTTGGGTCAAATAAGGCCAAAAAGGTCACACTCCAGGCTGGTTTCCAAAGTGCACCAGAATGTAGATAACTGTTCTAAGCAAAAGGCCACACCTCATTTAAGGTCAGTGACTTTGTCTGACCTTTCAGAGGTTATGGTGACCATAATCATACAAGACTGCGTC